TCTAATACGACTTGCTTCCTTCGCTTTGTAAACAATACCGGGCCGTGTCCGCAACATGTCAGATATTGCTACTATTAAGTGTAACAGAAAAATTGCGTTAAATTAATCGGAACGTCTTTTCGAAAACGCGCACCATTTTCCTATTTTCCTTGTTGGGTTAATGCAAAGTATTGCACAAAATTATAAAAGCCGCGTGAGGCCAATCAAATATGATTTTTATTCGAAATCTAAATAAACAGGCAGTGTTTTTTTGTACTAAAAGGGGATAAAAAGCAAATTTGATACTTTTAAAATATTTTCGGGGTACTGAATGCAAAGAAAAAAGACTACGGTTTGTTATTCTTACTCAGTTTATTTTGATGGTATTATAGGTGTGCATTCTTTGTATGATGTGCATTATTTTATTTTGTTGAAAGCAGGACATTTACAGTTTATAGCGGAGGAAAGAATACAGTTCATAACGTTAACTGTCATATTTAATACGGCAGGCGGCGGCGTCAAATCCTGGCCATTTAAGCTTATGCCATCACTTGACGTCCGTCGTCGTCCGTTGGCTGTCATCGTCTGTCGTCCTTATCGTCTTCTTCGTCTGTCGTCGTCGTAAACTATTTTAAGAATCTTCTCCTCTGAAACTACTGAGAAAAATACCTTCAAACTCTAACCGAATGATCCCTAGGGTATCTAGTTTATAAACTGTTTGCGAAGTTTTGATCCATCTACAAACATGGCCGCCATGGCTAAAAATAGAACCTATGGGCTAAATGTAGCTTTTGGCTTATATCTCAAAAACTAAAGCATTTAGAGCAAATCTGACAAGGGGTAAACATGTTCAACAGGTGAAGATCTATCAGCTAGCCATGAAATTTTCAGACGAACCGAACTATCCATTGTTGGGTTGCTGCCACTAAATTGGTAATTTTAAGCAAATTTTGAAGTTTTTGGTTATTATCTTGAATATTATTGAAGATAAAGATAAACTGTAAACAATAAAAACGTTCAGAAAAGTAAGATCTACAAAAAAGTTAATATGACAAAAATTGTCAATTGACCTCTAATGGAGTGTTTGCCCTTTAAAGACAATTTTACACAATGTGTTCATCATGGATATAAGAAGATGTGGTATGAGTGTCAATGAGACAACTCTCCATCCAAGTCACAATTTGTAAAAGTAAACCATTAAAGGTCAAAATACATTTTAAAATCTTCTCCTCTGACACTACTGCGCCTAATTCTGCTAAACTTTAATTGAATGTTCCTTAGGATAACTGGTTTGTTAATTGTGTCCGAAAATTTGATCCATTAACAAACATGGCCACCATGGCTAAAATAAGAACATTTTTTGGCTTTTATCTCAAAAACTATAGCAGTTAGAGCAAAAGTGACAGGAGTTAAAGTGATGAATGAGTAAAATCTATCTGTTATCAAATGCTCAGACCAATTGGACCACCCATTGTAGGGTAACTGTCCGAAATAGTTTATTTTTATGAAATTTAACTGTTTTTGCTTAATTATTATCTTTAATATTATAAAAGATAAAGAGAACGTGTAAATGGCAAAAATGTTCAGCTAAGTAGGATCTACAAATAATTCAAATAATCAAAATAGTCAATTGACTACTTAAGGAGTTATTTCCTTTGAAACGTTTATTTTTTACATTTTATCGTGCAAGTCTATTTCTTTTTTCAAAAATCTTCTTCTCTGAAACTAATGGGCCAAATACTTCCAAACTTTAACTGAATGTTCCTTATGATATCTTTTTTATAAAATGTATCTGAAGTTTTGATCCATCAACAACCATGGCCGCCATGGCTAAAAATAGAACATAGGGGACAAAAACAGTTTTTGGCTTATATCTCAAAAAGTACAGCAGTTTAAAGGGCAAAAAGTGAAAGTGAGTTAAAGTGACAAATTGGTCATGATCTAACTGTTATGAAATTTTCAGACAAGTTTGACAACCCATTGTTGGGTTACTGTTTGAAATGGTTTATTTTTTGTTCATTTTTACTGTTTTTTTGTTATTTTCGTTAATATTATAACAGATAGAGAAGTATAAATGGCGATAAATGTTCAGCTAAGTAAGATCTACAAATAAGTCAGCATGATCAAAATAGTCAATTGACTCCTTAAGGAGTTATTGCCCTTAAAACGTTTTTTTTTACATTTCTTGTGAAAGTCTAATTACTTTTTAAAAAATAATCTTCTCTGAAAAACTACATGGCCAAAAACTTAAAAACTTTAATTGAACGTTAATTTTTAGGAGATTTTACAGTTTGGGGTTATGTATTATCTTAAATATTGTTACAGAAAAAGAGAGAAAGTGTAAATGATAAAATTGTTCAGCAAAGTAAGATCTACAAATAAGTCGAATGCCTGAAACTGAAATTACAGGCGATTGTTATCAGGCTCTCATGAGCCTCTTGTTGTTTTAAAGTTTAGCATTTTGTTCGATAATTTTCCTTTTTGTCCAAAGCTCCTGAGTTTAAAACCGTCCAGACTCATCAAGGGCATTCAAATAAACAATTTAAAGATTCCCGTCAGCCTTAATGACAAAATCGTGGAACTACATACCAAACACCAGTAAAAATTTAATTTTCTCTTTAATGTGGGTAACATCAGGCGTCAGTATAGAAAATAATGATCCTTCAACACGAGACTGTCAAACATCGGAATTTAGGTATGACCCATATGACCATGGCATTACAGTGGACCTCAACACATGAGGCATCTCTTGATTTCTTTTAATAAATGTATGATTATTGCGGATATTGGAATATATCATTTTGACAATAATTTAGAAATGCATGTGTTGCTCACTTATTATATATGCATCTTCAACAATGGATGCCCTTCATTTTTGTGGAATAGAACTCATGACAAAGATCTCTCCTTCGTTGATCTAATCTTGCTGATCATTTTTGCTTATTTAAGTTTCTAATAGTTTTTCAGATAGTAGGCAACAATGCAAATCAAAGTACTGAAGTACTGAACATCGGATGACCGCAAGTTCTGGTGGATGGTCACAAGCACTTGTCCCAGAAAAAATTACATCTCTATACCTGAAAGTTAGTTTAAGGTACATAGACATATTTTTTCTGAGACAAGTTCGTGTGTGAATGATGAATAAATAACAGGGAACTCAACCTCACCGTAATAACTATTATATTGTAGTTATATAATTATTTGTTATCAGTACACTCTGGTTTGTTGTTATATGTTATATTTATATTTGTATAACACTTATATAAAATGGTCATCCATTTGTATATCATTCTATTCTTTTATTCTAATGATAGTGCAGTGCAAGTGCATGGTGTAAAACGTGATAAAATTTGTTATTAAAGAGAACAAATCCAATAAGGAGTCATCAGACGATTTAGACTATGTTGACCTATTTGTATATTTTGTCTTGCTGATAATTTTTGCTGATCTAAGTTTCTATTTATCTATTAAAGTTTGTCAAATATAAGGCAAAAATGCAAAATATTGGTCAAAATTATTAATTATTTTGCTAATCATATTTGCTATATATATTTTATATCTATTATAATTTTCAATAATAGAGAAAAAAATAAAAAGTTGGTAAAATTTGTCGTTTAAGGGCAATAACTCATATAAAAGTCGTTTGACAGTTTGATATTAAATGGACTATAGGTAGATCTCATCATTACAAACATTTCTGCCTTGTCAGATTTTCTCTATTTATAGTGGTTTTCAAGATAATAGACAAAACTTGCATTTTACTCCTAGGTTCTATTTTAACCATGTCCGTCATCTTGGTTGGCTGGCACATTTTTAAAATAAGATTGTGGCTAAGTTTGGTTATTTTGATCAGTAGTTCCAGAGAACAAGATTTTAGAAAAAGTTATTGACTACAATGGACAACACGGACAACAGAACCCAAGTGATGAGAAAAGCTCACTTGGCCATTCCGGCCAGGTGAACTAATAAAAAGGGCACCTAATGTGCTGTTTCCTGGAATGGTTAAAAACTTCAGGTACTTGCAAGGTCTGACTGACACAGCAGCCAACAATGAGCGGAAAAAATGATCAAAGAGATAGATTTTGACAAGCAGTTTCCATTCTCAATTTTATCTACTCAACATAAATATTCTCATTGTTGAAGACTGTACGGTTGCTTTAAATTGCTTACATCCACTTTATTTGAACTTTGGTGGATATTTGTCTCATTGGCAAATCATTATCACGTCTCCATATAATTATATGTTGTTGCATTGTATTAAGTTTTTGGTCAAAAATGTGATATGAGCAATACAAGCTCCTTATAGCCTCTAGTTTGTTAGTCTTTGAGAATGATGAATCTTAGCTTATAGTTTAGATGGGGAAAAGAGCAGTTTTGTGTTTACTCTGCCGACACAGCCAGCTTCCCTTTTATTGGAGCTCATGCGATTCTCTCAGTATTTGTTCTATTCCTGTACGATTCAAACATTGGTAAACTACGGTTACCTCAAATTTCAGCTTAGGGAGCTACCATTTGATTTTTATGGGGGGGGGGGGGGGGGGGGGGGCTAGGATGAAATTTGAAAAAAATAGGCAGGACAAGAGTTTTGAGTAAAAAAAAAAGGCAGGATGAGACACTTGCAAAAAAAAAAGTCAGGATGACAATTTACGTAAAAAAAAGTCAGGATAAACTTTAAAAAAAAAAGGCAGGACCGAATAGGGTGAAAAATAAAAAGGCAGGACAGAGATTACAACTAAAAAAAAATGCAGGACAAATTTTTTCATCCTAGACCCCCCCCGATAAAAATCAAATGGTAGCTCCCTTACCACATGCTGTGTATGTTCAAAATCAGGCTAAATGGACCATGTGTTTTTGTTTTTTTTCATTACTGTTTGTCCTTGTTTGTATGTCGGTTTTAGGAGGAGTTTGTGGTTGTTATGGTGATCTATGGTGTGTTGTACTGTTTGATGTTGTTGGTTATTCCAATTTTCTTTTTTATGCATTATCATTTTCTATGACATCAGTGCAGTAAAATTTCAACATCAAGAAATATATAATTTATTTTTTGATCACAATTAAATTGTATATAACAATATATATCAGAGTACAAGGATTATAAATACCTTTCTATTATGTCATACTGTAAATCAACTTATTTTCGCGACTTTGGCAAAATAAAAATAGAAAGATAACGCGAATATAAATCGTTGAAAATATCTTGGATCTTTCCTTATTAAACTACGTCAAGTAAATTAGAAAATCAGGAAATTAAATAGCCACGAAGTGAACAAGAAAGGGTAAAATGTGAATAAAGTATATGTAGAGTTATTCCCCTTATAGTTTTTATAAAACAATTGGCCCCACAATACCATTACGTGTGTACAGTACTAAAGAAAACATTGTAGTCAAGAGGAGATAACAAGATTTATACTGTAGAAAAAAATAAAATGGCTTTCATGGCACACCATATTCTTTTTCATTTAACATTCAAGATATCTCATATACATTGTACTCATATAATTAAAAGCAAGGTTTATAAGACATCTACTATTTTCATTAGATATATATAAAAGATATAAGATATCATTGAAAATTCCTTTTTAAGGAAAGGAAATTTCTTATAAGTTGAATAAATACAAATTAAGCATGCCATAGATTTTATCCTTCATATGATTTGAGATCAGCAAGATAGTAATATACAAAGGTTGATAAAATAGTTTATTTCAAGCACAAAATTATTTCAAATTAGAATTTTCATCAATGGGAGACAACTTTGGAGTAGGAGTCAGATTGTTTCCAGTCCATGCAAAACTTACTCATGCTCATGTGACTTGCTTTGAATAGGCAGGAACCAATTTGTCCATTAGAAAAGTTTTTTCCACTTTCAAAAAATCTGTTATTCTCTGCTATATTCAGAATTTTTCTGAGCGCATCCACACAAGTATCATAAAAAAGGTGTTTACATAAAATTGAGAATGGAAGTGGGGAATGTGTCAAAGAGACAACAACCCGACCAAAGAACACAAAATAGCCGATTATGCATTCACATGTGTTTATAAATTTCACAATATACAATAACCCATTCAAACAAATATTTTATCATTTTATCCTATAAATTTCATGTCATAGAAAAAAAAAACTTTGATACCAGGTGACATACATTTTTAAGACTTAAAGCTTGTACAAAATACTAAACTATAAACTGTTCCTAGGTACTTGTTAACCAGTTTATTACTACACATACTGTGTCATGCAAAGCTAATGACTTCAATCTAGATAATTTTAAGGACTCTCCTTCTCAGGAATATTACATTACAATATTGGACTACCATTTTGATAATTAATCTTAACACTTAAATGAACACAATACTGTTATTGAAAAGTAAATAATGCATGACTTAATTTAAGGGGATGATGACTTTAATCTCATGTAATGCATGCATTTTAATGCAATAGCCATTAGCATACTAAATATCTGGTGAAGAGTTGTCTAATTGACAATCACACCACATCTTATTATGCCTCGTTCACACGTACATTTAATTCAAATTGAATTCGAATTAAATGCGAATCGAATTCGCTAATCGCATTCACACACTCTTCTTTTTTAATTCGAATTGATTCTTATTGGCTAAATCGCATTATCCAATTCGGATTAGAAATGCGTTTTTGATAATACGAATTAAAAGTTAACGTCGTTCGGACAGTAAAGCTAATTTGACGCGCATTGCAATTTGAATTAGAATTTACGTTTGGATATAAAACGTTTCGAATGCGAATTAAACTAATTTGAATTAGTTAATGCGAATCGAATTCGAATTACGTGTGAACGCAGCAATAATCTAATTCGAATTACAATTTAAAAAGTGTCCACACAACAGTTAAATTTGAATTAAAACGAATTAACTAATTCGCATTAACGAAAACGCATTTCTAATGCGAATTGGATAATGCGAATTAGCAAATTCGAATTCTATTCAAATTAAAAAAAGATGAGTGTGTGAACTCGATTAGCGAATTCTATTCGCATTCGATTTGAATTAAATGTACGTGTGAACGAGGCATTAAATATATTTGGATGACAAAAGTTTGGATATTTTTACACCACCATCACTGCACACTCGGATCAGAATACCTTAAAACTCTCTCCTTATATAACTTTGATACCACATGAGACAAAAATTCTGACTAGATCTCTCTTTGGCACAAAGCTTGAAATATCTTAAAGCAATTTCTAAACTCTTGTGGATTCATAATAAGTATTTATACTATTTATATTCAGGGTACTAATTTTCATGTATTTAGTGGATTATATACCACCAACTTCAGAAATTACACGAAATACAAATTTGCTATAGAGTAAACATAATTTGTCAAAACTAAGTATCCACCAAAATAGAATTCTAACTCAATCCATGAAGGTTGGTACTTTATATCTTCATCCTATAAAACTACAAATAATACAAAAATAAGAAAATTGTCTAGAGCAAACCTAAGCTGTCATCCATTTCTCGTAAAGTGTAATACAACCATCACTATACCAGATCTTGTTTTATAAGAAAATGAAATGATGAATCAACGAAATTATCACATGTCATCCCTTTCTCTAATAGTTAAATACAGCCAATTATATACCAGATCTTGTTTTATAAGAAAATGAAACGATGAACCTATGAAATTTTCACATTTGCTGTGATGAAAAATGATTTCTACATTGAATTGCAAATCAAACTTATGTTTTTAAATTTGTATATTTCAAAAATAGCTTTTATTGATTACGTACTACAAAAATTTGAACCTGAGAGAATGATGTTTCCCAAATATACATCTGTTTGTTCATTTTTTATATGCAATTAAATCATAATTCAAAATATAAAAGATAATAAAAATGATAACAAAATGATTGAAAATATAAAGTTTGAAAAAAAGTTTAATTAAAGATTTGTTATGAAAATAAAGGGTTAATATATAATTGCAATAGATATTAAGGATGTTTAATTTCTTTTTGGTCAACTTTATCTTGGTACATGCATTTTGTAAACTCTCTGGACTTATCCATGACTATCAAAAAATGTTGATGTTGTATGATGAAAGTGATAATAAATGTTTGCGAAGTTTTGGTAAACAATTTTTTTTTAAATGAAAAGTAAAAATTGTAGTAAGTATTCTAATGTAAGTAATATTATAAATAAAGTAATAACAATGGCAGGATTGCGTACAACAAAACAATATATAACGTCAATACAACTGAGAATTATAATATAATAAAACCATGAACATTAAAACAATGAATGCTTTATATATGAGCTGTGTCGGATAGAAATCGACTTTATGCAAGTGCAAGTATACATGTATATGTATAAGACTTTGATTGATTTTGGACTGTTTTGTAGGGTTCTTGTACTAACTCAATTTTCAAACAGTTACAGACTTTCAGTACAGATTTTTTTCAACCGGAAATAGGTTTAACTTAACAGATGTATTGATATTCAATTGTATACGGTCAATTTCTATCAGATGCAGCTCATATTAAGAATAATTGTAATTGACCACATGTCACAGAGTTAAACGATGATCTAATGATTAAATCAATGAAAATAACTAAGTTGTCAATGGTCAAGTAGTTAATCAGTTTTAACTATCTCACTACATGTATTTAGTGTTCTCCCCAGGGCCTTATTGCACCATGGTATCATGCTGATATTTTTTTTACTGTGCTATCTGAATAGATTTTATATTAAAAAGTATTATAAATGTGGTGCTACTATTTCATTGAAATAAATCATTGAATGTATCTATTCCAACATTCTAATTTTTTTTGTTTTTTTTTCTGTTGCTTCAGTTAAATTTTTAGATAACAGATCTACTGGAACCAAAGTTTCTATATGTTCCAAGTCAAACTGAAATATTTTGATAATTTTTTTCAAACATAGAGTTGGTCTTTTATGAATTTATGAAATATTAACTAAAATTGTAGACTTTTTCACAGTTTATATTGCTGTAAACAATAACATTCATGCATTTTAAGATCTACTATTTAAAGGTGAACGCAACACTAAGTAAAATAACATTCATAGTTTTATTTTTTTTTAAATTTTAAATCTAAAAAAATGTAGAAAATCCCTGATAAGGGCTTACACATTTATACCCTTTGGTTCCTAATTTATGTAGATATAAATCAGCTATAGGAAAACCCCAATATCCTTTGGATGAAAAAACAAAAACAAAATATGAGATGCCCATGCCTTTAGATACAAAATATCCTCTAAATGATACAGTGAAATCCATCAAGCCACTAGATTTAAATAAGTTGAAGATATTAAGCGAATAGGCCACCTGTAAATTACCCTCACATATTATAGTTTATTACAGTCCATTCAATAAGTTTTACAAATACAAACAATATTTATTTATTTGTCAGCGATACAAAACACAAAAAACAACATTTTGTTCCTCAGCTCAATCTTCATAGAAAAATTTGTGTTTAAATACAAAAATATTTATTTATCAGTGATACCAAACTCAAAAAACAACATTTTGTTCTTCAGCTCAACCTTTATAGAAACAGTCGTGTTTAAATACAAAAATATTTATTTATCAGTGATACAAAAACAACAGTTTGTTCTTGAGCTCAACCTTAGAAAAAGTCTTGTTTTTGTATCTATTATAGATCTATTAAAGACAATGACAGCTTGCAAACATATTAAAACACAATACAATTTTGTTATTCAGCAATCAGTATACTGGTTTTAACGGACATGTTGGTCTAACATAACCATTTTCTCCTGTTGTGTAATCTGTGTTTAGAGATTAACACAAATAATTCAGTCATTCTATTTACAAGTTATTTTTTATAGCTGACTATACAGTATGGATTTTTCTCATTGTTGAAGGCCGTATGGTTGCCTATAATTGCTTACATTCACTTCATTTGAACTTTGGTGGTTAGGTGTCTCATTGGCAATCATACCACGTCACCTTATTGTTATACAAGTTAAATCAAGCGGTTTGCTTGTTTTTCTATTATTTATTGTTGGGTTGTTTAATGTCCAGTGGCAAATATTTCATGCATGTTCAAGACGATAACACATTGTGGCAAAGTTGTCATGGAAAGCACATGCAGTCATAAATATTGCATTTTATTGGGAAATAAAACTTAAATTTGGAATTCCTTGTGATTGTTGTCTGCCAATCAAAATACAGATCTTATAAAAGTAATCTCTTTAAAACAAGTTCCAGGTATATATTTATTTTGTACAGGTATATGACTACATTAAATGTGTAATTCAGACAGCCACGTCACATGTACATGTACATGCATTATCAAGTTTTACAAAGGATTTGACTACTTCAAGAATTTTTTCTATTAAGGTCCTTTTTTGATTATATTGCTCCTCTTACAGTTTATAGATCTTAAGTTCCAAGTATTTCTTTTCATAGTGTGATCATGATCTAGAAGGTACATTTCAGGATTCCTAAGTAGGAGTTCCTTGTAAAATATACCTAAGCCTAGTAATAACATTTTCTTTGGTCATAAAACATACATTTCAAATACACTTCCATTTCTTGTGGATTTTTGGTGGCAAAGTAGTGTATGTCTCCTTTGATTGTAAAAAATATTGGTTTTTATTGTAATACATAATTTAAACAAAAGATTTACCACACTCCTCTCATGTAACCAAATCTCCATGCCGAGGCTGTTTTCTTACCAAATCACTTACAATCAGAAATACAATATAGGTTTAACATATGAAACAACATTTCTACTAATTTTCATCAACTTTTTTCTGTATGTCTTTTTCTTTGTCTTTGTTCCGATTTTAATAATTCTTCCTCTTTTTTCCTCCAAAAAGCCTCATTTTGATGCATGTGCATCGTATTATCAGCAACTCTGGGGTCTGGAGCTCCATAGTTTGGTGGATTGGACTCCGGATCATAGCCCAGAATTCTTAACATTGGAGCAATGGTAGCCATGTCCCTGATAACGTCTGCTGGTAAATGTCCAACCCACTTGGACATGGCATCAATATTTACTGGACGTATAACCTGGTCAGAAGACTTCTCTGTCCTGAAAATAAAATATTTTTACAAGTAATTCTACCATTAATAAAGCTTATTTTACAAATAATTCTACCATTAATAAATCTAAGATTAATAAAAGAACAGAGTTTTAATATCCCCGCGTTCCACATATTTTATCTGTACAATGGCAAAATTATTTTATTTTTTTATCAACTTTTTACAAATACCTGGTATATTAAAGAAATGTAGTCTTCAGAGCGCTTACAATATTTCCAAGGGTCATAACTCTTTTAAGAATAGTAAAATTGTATTGAACAGTCCTGTTGACCCAGATTGGTTATTTATAACATTAATGATTAAGTAGCTGTCTTGTTGACGTTTATCCTTTTATCATGTTTATTCATATCTCTTACAAAAAAAAAATAACTACTAAAAAGGTGTCTCCCTCTGTTGAATAACAAAAATTAATAACTGTTCAAATGTATAAAAGAATAAGATTCATGAAGAAAGTTTTTATGTAATAGAAAGCATTGATTTTGCATTCAATAATTCTAAGTGACCTACAAAACAAACTATAATTACACATGCACATACTTAGACAGGGGGATCTCTTTTCCAATATAATTATACATACTTAGACAGGGAGATCTCTTTTCCAATACAATTATACATACTTAGACAGGGAGATCTTTTTTCCAATATAATTATACATACTTAGACAGGAAGATCTCTTTTCCAATATAATTATACATACTTAGACAGGGAGATCTCTTTTCCAATATAATTATACATACTTAGACAGGAAGATCTCTTTTCCGATATAATTATACATACTTAGACAGGGAGATCTCTTTTCCGATATAATTATACAAATTTAGACAGGGAGATCTCTTTTCTGATATAATTATACATACTTTATGTCTTACACAGGGAGATCTCTTTTCTAATATAATTATATGGAGATCTCTTTTCCAATATAATTATACATACTTAGACAGGGAGATCTCTTTTCAAATATAATTATACATACTTAGACAGGGAGATCTCTTTTCCAATATAATTATACATACTTAGACATGGAGATCTCTTTTCCAATATAATTATACATACTGAGACAGGGAGATCTCTTTTCCAATATAATTATACATACTTAGACAGGGAGATCTCTTTTCCAATATAATTATACACACTTAGACAGGGAGATCTCTTTTCAAATATAATGATACATACTTAGACAGGGAGATCTCTTTTCCAATATAATTATACATACTTAGACATGGAGATCTCTTTTCCAATATAATTATACATACTGAGACAGGGAGATCTCTTTTCCAATATAATTATACATACTTAGACAGGAAGATCTCTTTTCCGATATAATTATACATACTTAGACAGGGATATCTCTTTTCCGATATAATTATACATACTTAGACAGGGAGATCTCTTTTCCGATATAATTATACAGACTTTATGTCTTACACAGGGAGATCTCTTTTCTAATATAATTATATGGAGATCTCTTTTCCAATATAATTATACATACTTAGACAGGAAGATCTCTTTTCAAATATAATGATACATACTTAGACAGGGAGATCTCTTTTCCAATATAATTATATATACTAAGACATGGAGATCTCTTTTCCAATATAATTATACATACTGAGACAGGGAGATCTCTTTTCCAATATAATTATACATACTTAGACAGAGAGATCTCTTTTCCAATATAATCTTCATGATGTAGTACTGTATCATTCCATGGAATTTCTAGAAATCTTAGAATTCTTTTCATCCACAATTCAGGGTGCAATGTCAACTGTTCATAATACACAGGTAAACAGTGTCTAGCACCAACATGTAAACACTGAGCATACATTGACTCCATGGCATGGTTCCATTTCGACAGACAATTTCTGTAACTTGTTAAATCAAAACCTGTAATGGTCACCTTACGTGAAATGATAGAATGTACTGTTGCCCGTCCATCACGAATCATAAACAAGAACTTGGAATTTGGGAATAATTTTTTCAAGTAGACACTGGATTTCAGAGTAAATGGATCTTTATTACACAGCCGTGGTGCTGCTTCGCCATGCTTAGCTATCACTTCTAACACAAAAGCTGAAATAGCAGAGTCAATTACAAAATCAGAAATTCCTGCTTCTTGTAATCGTCTTTTTTCTGTTTCTGATTTATACCACTGAGCTCGCATTCCGAGTATCCTTGGAACAATGCGTGTTTCTTCTCCACAGCGTACATCTGGATGTGCGTCTATCATTGCTCTCATTAGAGTTGTACCACTTCTTGGCATCCCACCAATAAAAACCAAAGGACTTTCTCTGCCATATTCGATTGCCTTTCCCTGTCGCGTATAGACAAATTTCTCTCGTTCTGACGGGACCATGATCATGTTTGGTTTTTTATCACATTGTAGAAAATTATAACAAATCAAAATAACACTGATAAAACAAATAACAACATAACACATGGATTTCTTCAACTTCATCCCCATCATACAGTCACAACATGTCTGCTCACCTGGGTCTGTATTGTACCTACAAAATAAATGTGGACACATAGAAATACCTTCAGTCCCAACATGTCTGCTCATCTCTGTATTGTACATTTTGTACCTACAACATAAATGTGGACACATAGAAATACCTTCAGTCACAACATGTCTGCTTATCTCTGTATTGTACCTACAATATAAATGTGGACACATAGAAATACCTTCAATAACAACATGTCTGCTTATCTCTGTATTGTACCTAAAACATAAATGTGGACACATAGAAATACCTTCAGTCACAACATGTCTGCTCATCTCTGTCTGTACTGTACCTACATCATAAATGTGGACACATAGAAATACCTACAGGTACAACATGTCTGCTCATCTATGTATTGTACCTACAACATAAATATGGACACATAGAAATACCTTCAGTCACAACATGTCTGCTCAACTGTCTGTATTGTACCTATAACATAAATGTGGACACATAGAAATACCTTCAATAACAACATGTCTGCTCACCTGGGTCTGTATTGTACCTACAACATAAATGTGGACACATAGAAATACCTTCAATAACAACATGTCTGCTCACCTGGGTCTGTATTGTACCTACAACATAAATGTGGACACATAGAAATACCTACAGGTACAACATGTCTGCTCACCTGTCTATATTGTACCTACAACATAAATGTGGACACATAGAAATACTTTAAGTCACAACATGTCTGCTCAACTGTCTGTATTGTACCTATAACATAAATGTGGACACATAGAAATACCTACAGGTACAACATGTCTGCTCATCTCTGTATTGTACATACAATATAAATGTGGACACATAGAAATGCCTTCGGTCACAACATGTCTGCTAATCTCTGTATTGTTCCTACAACATAAATGTGGACACATAGAAATACCTTCAATAACAACATGTCTGCTCACCTGGGTCTGTATTGTACCTACAACATAAATGTGGACACATAGAAATACCTACAGGTACAACATGTCTGCTCACCTGTCTATATTGTACCTACAACATAAATGTGGACACATAGAAATACTTTAAGTCACAACATGTCTGCTCAACTGTCTGTATTGAACCTACAACATAAATGTGGACACATAGAAATATCTTCTATACATCCCCATATACTGTTCAGTCACAACATGTCTGCTCATCTCAAACATTTTAGACTAGTTCAAAATAATATGGGAACTTATTTAAGGATGATCTTTTTCTGAGCACCCCTTCTGGGCATGTTGCAAAAATACTTTTTAGGTTCAAAAATATTTTACCAAGTATCATTCAATATACACTGTACGACGAAAAAATCTAAAATTTGAAATTTAAGATTAAAGTATAAAAAATTACAATCAGTGTAAGTAAGAGTTTTTAAAATTTACAGAAACAAGAATGTGCCCATAGTACACGGATGTCCCACTCACACTATCATTTTCTATGTTCAGTGGACCGTGAAATTAGGGTCAAAACTCCAATTTGGCATTAAAATTCGAAAGATCATATCATAGGGATCATGTGTACTAAGTTTCAAGTTGATTGACTTCAACTTCATCAAAAACTACCTTACCAAAAAACTTGAACCAAAAACTTTAACCTGAAGCAGGGCAGATGGACAGACGAACGGACAGACGAATGGACGGACGAACGAACCAATGGACACACAGACGGAAAAACATAATGCTCCTAGGTGGGGCATAAAAAATCATTTGAAATCAAGGGCAGATAATTATACTGAATTTGATAGGACAATTTGTATTTTTTTTGAATTTTCAAGAAAATAAGGCCTGTGACTCCCTATTTTTCTGATATTTCAGAAGTATTTATAATAAAATGCTCCGTTGTGCACAGCCTGGTACGATCTCAGAGGTCGGAACCCTGAACAGTTGGGGCAAGTATGAACACTGCATTCAAGCTTGATACAGCTCTGAATTTGGATTGTGATTGAATATTTGACACATCATAGGTTTCTGTCACAAAACGAATGTGGTCAAAGAACTGAAAAATTTGAAATTGGATTTTACCTATTATGGTCCAATTTATTTATATGGTAATGGACAATATTAGATAAGTTTTTAAGGGGGTTTGCTTTATAAAAAATAAATGTGGATAGTGTCCACATGTGGACACAGATGATGCCCCCGCTTGCATATCATATAGTTATAAAGGGACATAACTGAAGAACGGTAAAAGTGACGCTACCCAAATTTGAACTTGATCTGAGTTTTGTGGTAATAAGCATTGTGTGTAAGTCTCATAACATTTGGTTGAGGCTAACTTAAGTAGAGAACAGAAACTAAAAATTCAGCAATTTTTCTATTTGTAAACACGCATAACTCTAGAACGGTTGTGTATAAGTTTTATAACATTTGGTTGAGACAAACTAAAGTTAGAGAACGGAAACGAAAAATTCAGCAATTTCTATGTTTATAAAGGGACATAACTCAAGAATGGTAAAAGTGTTGCCACCTTAATCTGTATAATGTAGTAATAAGCATTGTGTATAAATAGTTATCAAAGGTATAAGTTTCATAACATTTGGTTGAGGCAAACTAAAGTTAGAAAAAGGAAACAAAAAATTTGTACTTGATCTTAGTTTTGTGGTAATGAATATTGTGTATAGGTTTCATAATGTTTGGTTGGGGCAAACTTAAGTTACAGAATGGAAACTAAAAATTTTGCAATCTTTCAATTTATAAAGGGGCATAACTCAATAATGGTTAAAGTGATACTACCCAAATTCAACTTGATCTGTGTTTTATCAGTGGAAGTCAAAATTAAACATTGCATTGTATATAGCATTGATTGTAGTTGATTCAACTGTAATAAGGACAAAGGAAGATAACTCCAATTTTAAAAATTACTTGATATTTAGAAGAAAATAAAAATTTTGCAATTTTTCCATTTATAAAGGGGCATAACTCTAGAATGGTAAAAGTGACGCCACCAAAATTCAAAATTGATCTGTGTTTTGTGGTAATAAACATTGTGTATAAGTTTCATAACATTTGGTTGAGGCAAACTAAAGTTAGAGAACAGAAACGAAAAATTCAGCAATTTTTCCATTTGTAAAGGGGCATAACTCTAGAACGGTGAAAGTGAGGCCACCTAAATTCAATCTTGATCTGTGTTTTGTGGTAATAAGCATTGTGTATAAGTTTCATAACATTTGGTTGAGGCAAATTAAAGTTAGAGAACGGAAACGATAAATTTAGCAATTTTTCCATTTGTAAAGGGGCATAACTCTATAACGGTAAAAGTGACGCCACCAAAATTCAAACTTGATCTGTGTTTTGTGGTAATAACCATTGTGTATAAGTTTCATAACATTTGGTTGAGGCAAACTAAAGTTAGAGAACGGAAACCAATTTTGGGACGTACGTACGTATGTTCGTACGTACGTACAGACGGACAAGGGTAAAACTTAATGCCCACTCCGCTACGGCGGGGGCATAAAAATTATATATATACTTTTATATATATAACATTCTTAAAATTAATTCATACAGAATAACAAACAAACCTAACACGAAGTTCTTCATTAAATTCACACAAATAAAACAAAGAAAACAATTTCCAAAATATCATTCATCATTAATACAGTGTCTAAAAGTTACCTATTTACAAAATATCTAATAATGAACATTAAACTTCAAATTATATACATAAGTTCTTCTCTAAAATTAGACAATCATATGATGCTATATCTATTTTTAACTATGACTCAGCTTAAAATTTCTATTAATTGTGCAAAACAGCTCTTAATTTAAATACTTGATATAGCATAGTTTCTGACACAGAATGAATGTGGTCTAAGTCCTTATACATTCAAAATTGGACATTTACCAATTATGGTCCACTATTCAAATTAAAAATACATGGTTGGAATCAGCATATAAAAGAACCCCAAGAATTCATTTTTTTAAGAAATCCAACAAAGTTTAATTTTGGACCCTTTGGACCTCAATGTGGACCAATTTGAAAACAGGACCCATAATCAAAAATCTAAATGCATACTTAAATTCAGCATATCAAAGAACCCCATACATACAATTTTTGTTAAAATCAAACAAAGTTCAATTTTGGACCCAATTTGAACCAACTTGAAAACCAAAAATCTAATTATATGCCTATTTTCAGCATAAAGAAGTACCCCAAGAATTCAATTTTTGTTAAAATCAAACTAAGTTTAATTTTGGATACTTTGAACCTTAATGTGGACCAGTTTGAAAAACATGCCCAAAATCAAAAACCTAAAAACACTGTCAGATTGGGCACATCAAAGAACACCAATAATTCAAATTTTGATGAAATCAAACTAAGTTTAATTTTGGACCCCAATTTGGACCAACTTTGAAAACCAGACCCAAAATCAAAAATCTAAAACACTGTTTGATTGGCATAACAAAGAACACCAATAATTCAATTTTTGATGAAATCAAACAAAGTTTAATTTTGGACCGTTTGGACCTTAATGTGGACCAATTTGAAGACAGGCCCCAAAATTAAAAATCTAAATACATGTTTAAATTCAGCATATCAAAGAACACCAATAATTCAATTTTTGATGAAATCAAACAAAGTTTAATTTTGGACCTTTTGCACTTTAATATGAATCAATTCAAAAACAGGGCCCAAAATCCAAATTCTAAATACCCTGTCAGATTCAGCATATTCAAGAACCCCAAGAATTCAAGACTTTGAATTAAACCCCATTGAAATTAGTCATGAAATAAGCCATATATTCAAGTATTTTTTACAAAAAAAATTTGGTCCCTTTTTCTTTAAAACCGTTAGGGTTATAACCCCTAAAATCAATCCCAACCTTCCTTTCATGGTGTAACACCTTGTGGCACAATTAAATAGCAATCCATAGACTTATACTCAAGTTATTGTCTGGAAACCAGAAAATCCTAGTTTTTGGCCCCTTTTCGGCCCTTAATTCCTGAACGGTTTGGACCATGACCCCCAAAATCAATCCCAACCTTCCTTTTGAAGTATGGAACCTTGTG